AACAAGGACTGGAACAAGGACTGGAACAAGGACTGGAACAAGGACTGTTCCACATACCCCACGAAGAGACAGGCATAACTGGGGTCCATGCGGGTACCCATAGCCACTCCTCTGACCTGAAGGAAATGAAAAGAGTTAAAAGAGAAGTTGTTGAGGGTGAGCATGAGCTTGGCCAAGCAGAGGAGGGTGGTGGTAGGTGGAGACGGTTCAGGCCTTTGCTGCCAGAAGAAGCAGAGAGCCCTGAGACCATCCTGGTGGGGGATGGAACCACGTTGCTGAAGGAAGGGATTGATTTGAATGCATCATCTAAGAATTAGAATCAGATCTTTCAGATGTGCAGTAAATGAAAACAAATAATGTTTAATTTGAGACTGACATTTGAGATGAAACAAAAAAGTTAATAACTGGCTGGTTAAAATTTTCCCACTTCATACTGATGCAATGGAAATGCCTTAGTTCAAGGATGGCATGCTTAAGGCAAAAGCTTTTTAAGTGAAAAAATGGCTGGTACATTTTGAAAAAAACTTGTGTTGCTGACATATGCTTGTTTTCTTGCGTCATTTTAAACACAATCTTGTCTCGAAAATTAATGCATTTCTTGCTTTGGGTTTAATGCAGGGGTGACACTCTCTAATTCTGCTTCTTTGAGAGTCCAAATACCAATTGCATGAACCAAAATACAGAAGATAATGTTATCACATGACAACACCACCTAATAAGGGAGTTCGTCAGAAGTCCTGAAAACCGAAGATTAGCTCAAAAACCAAAGAAGTATAACGAGAAAATCTCCACAGCCTGGAGGGATGAGTTTAAATCACAGGTATTCTTTAAAACTCACCATGTACATCAAACTTTAAATGTTGAAGGTTACTGACACCCAATAAGATATTGGCTTGTCGCTGCAAAGCCTTTCCAAATGGGTGATTGCCTTCTGAGATCACATAGTAGAACAAACAGCCAGCAGAGAAAATATCCACTGCACATGTCTGAGGACAAACAAATAAATTATTGCATTGTAGATAATGAAGCAGATTCAATTCTTCTGTAATATCATGCCTGGAAAATTCAGAATCCTTTTCTGTTCAATTTCAGTAACCAGATGATCTTGTGAAGAGCTGGAAAGAGTTTGCTAATTAATACTGCAGTCCATTTCTCCATTTCTCTCAGATCTGTATGATTGGGCTACCTGCAATCGGTCCGGGGTGGGGAGGGGGCGATGGAGAGTTGAGCTGAAATACCTTCTTTTAAAAAAATAAATAATGGCACCTGCTGAAAATCTAAGATAAGAAACTGCTAGAAATACATAACAAACCAGACAGTTCTGCAGAAAGGAACAATGTATTCATTCAGAGATAGTAGGAACTGCAGATGCTGGAGAATCTGAGATAACAAGGTGTAGAGCTGGATGAACACAGCAGGCCAAGCAGCATCAGAGGAGCAGGAAAGCTGACGTTTCGGGCCTAGACCCTTCTTCAGAAATGGAGGGAGGAGGGTAACTTCTTCAGGGTAGGCTTCCTTAGAAGAGGCTTCGCAGTGTGCTTAAAATTGTTTCATAGATAGTAGGGACTGCAGGTGCTGGAGAATCTGAGATGACAAGGTGTAGAGCTGGATGAACACAGCAGGCCAAGCAAATTTTCTGAAGAAGGGTCTAGGCCCGAAACGTCAGCCTTCCTGCTCCTCTGATGCTGCTTGGCCTGCTGTGTTCATCCAGCTCTACATAATGTATTCATTTTTGAGTTTTAACTCTTTTCATAAATTAAAGCAATAACATTTTCTCACTGAGGAAACAGCAAATTTGCCGTATGTTTTTAACTTTCTTTCTGTTGTTCAGTGTCAAGAGGAAAGGCAATGTCATTACATTGGGTCACTCCCAGATCACGTACAACACACATTAGCTGCAGAATAAGTATCATCTCAACAGCACCATCTTCAGAAAACCGTGAGTCACTATATCTGTGCAGCACCTCTATTTCCCTCTTCGCCACTCTGAAACAAATTGCTATGTTGAATCAGCAGACTTGAGGCACTCTTGTTTAGCGCATCCACTGATGTTTTGATCAGGCATTGCCTGTGACTGTCCAACTTCTCAGCTGTACAGAAGGCAGCTTCACTGTAAAATCAGGAACAGTTCAGCAAATGCAGTTGCAGACACTGCAAATTACTTCAGCCCATTGTACAGCTGTTGAGTGAGAACGGGCTAGAAACTGCCCAGAATGGAAGGATACATTTGTCATTAAGTGACAGAGCCCCTTGCACTGGACCACATAGGCCTGGGTTCAAGTTCTACCTTCTTCAGAAGTATGTCTTCACACAGTGCTGGAACTGAGGTAGAATCTGCAGTGCTTAAATAAGTTATCCTGAATTTTCAGATACACCACACTTTTGTTATATTCTGTTGAAGTATTGAATATCTATAGAAACGCTGACCAAAGTTCAACAATCAAATCAATTTCCAGAGAGAGACAGAGACAGAATATTCTGGGGACATGGATTCAAAACCCACAAAGGCAAATGGTGAAATTGAATTCAATAAAGATCTGGAATAAAAAGTTCACCTAATAATAAAACCATTATCAATTGTCAGAAAAAAAAACTCTAGTTCACTAATGTCAGTCTGCCATCCTTAACTCATCTAGCAATGTGAGACTGCAGATCCACAGCGATGTACTGGGCTCTTTACTACTCTCTTGGGCAATTAGGGATTAGCAATATATGCCAGCCTAGCCAGCAAAGTGTGCATCCCATTAATAAATAAAAGAAACACAATCTCATTAACTAGCTTTAACATCAATGATCAATTAGCCATAGACAAATTCATGATAAATATCTTACTAGCACTTAAATACAACAAATGGAACATGTTCACCAATAGGTTGTTTAGATTCTATTTTTAAAAAGTTTCAATTCTTTGAGGAAAAACAGCAAGGTTGGTATCCTGAACAAAAATGGGCAGAATGTCCTTTTTGCCTCTGACCCAACCCAGTGATCTCCACTTGTAAAGCTGAGCAATGAGAACTGCATGAACTGTATAATCAGTAGCACAAGTGGAAATATAGTCATCACACCAAATTGATGACTGGCGATGTTCAAAAGATCTTAGTAGGTCAAATAATTTAAATGGCCTGATTTTGACAGTTTTTCCACAGGAGACACCAATTCAGACCTCTCATGTTCCTGTGCTCCAACGTAGTGAAAATCTCTCCAATTCTCTCCAGGCTCTGGGGAATTAACATTATTAGAGTAATTACTGCTGGCATTGTTAGCCCCAATCGTTAACTCACCGGATTTGCCTTGCAATCTTCATTCAATACCTCTGGGGCAATCCAACCTTCTGTGCCAGGCACCCCAGACCTGCGGCTGAAGCTGTGTCTGCCCACTGCTAGCTTCTTGCAAAGACCAAAGTCAGAGATCATGGCTTTCACTCTCCCATGGGCATTAGGCATTGAGATTAATATGTTGTGTGGTTTCAGGTCTCTGTGAACTAATCAGAGTTTTGGACTTTAGAAACAAATGACAACATAAAAGCCATATAAGAGACACTAAGATTCAGTGAAGCATTCCAGCCACACCATCCTTTCAAAAGATGATTGTAGAGTCAAGTTGTAAATAGATATTGCAATGTACTGTTACAGGACAGATAATTTAAAAATCACAACAAATCCCACTATGGTAGTTTGAGAATTTAAAATCCTGAAATGTAAAGAAAACTAGCATTTGCAAAAAATTATCATGAAGTAATCAGATTGTTATGAAAACATAATTGGTTAATTAATAACCAGTCAGGAAAGGAATGTGTCACCTTTGCCTGGTCTGGCGTACATGCAGGTCAAGAGAGTTGTGTCGAACTGGACTCTCAGTTACCCTATGAAGTCAGCCTTATCAAAATGCAACTGTGTGACAAATGCCAGTCTTGCCAGTGATACTCACATGAATAAAACTTTTAAATGCCACTTGGTACTAACATAATTGTAGTGACCTGTTTCAGAAGGAATCAGGAGTAGACTACATTGGATGGTCAGATTCCCTCCCGAAAGGCAGGGAGCCAATTGTTGCTTTTGCAGTTTTTGAACAACACAGTACTAACTGCTGAGTACAGTTAGATCACTTGTCACAGTGGCATGTGAACTCTTGACATTTGCCTGAGCTGCTGGCTCAAGCATAATTAAGACAACTGCACCCACTTAGAATTAACATCTTTAATGCCTAACACTGAATCTGCTGCCCGTTAACTTGTAGGAATGTTAGGCAAACACATCTGAATCAACAATTCAATAGTTCCTTCCATTACTGCATGGCCCAGGTTTCGCTCCAGCAGCAGACAAAAGCATCAATGCACAATAAGGTCAAAACATCTCACACCAGAAAGGCCCCATGTTTGATCCTCAGTCTGTGCTGCACCAGCTCATTTCAGCTTGAGTAGATAAGATTGGAATACTCGGAAGGTACCTGCTCCTGACTATGAGCAGTTACTAAACAGCTTCATGTGAAATAGAGCTGCAGTCCAACTAAGAGTAGCCATCTTTAGGAATGTGAGTAAATATCTTGAAGAAGGAAATAATATTTTTAAACCAATTAAAATATTGTTCACAATTTTTACAACAATTTTGTAATGTAGAAATCAAGGCACAGAACATGCAGAATAAAGAACTTCCAAGCATTAGGAAAAAGACTGAGGGTTGACCCACTAGAGGTCTTTAAAATAATGAGAGAGTTTGCTACAGTAGATACCAAAAAAAATGTTTTGCTTGTAGAGGAAATATAGAACTGAGCCACAAACATATGATGATATCCAATAAATATGACAGTGAGACCTCTGGGACCATATAGATTTTTTGACAGAGTTATGCAGCACGGAAACAGACCCTTCAGCCCAAATAAAACAGCAAGATCGTAAGGGATGCATGTGACTATATCACAAGGGCTGATTAAAATAGTGAGATATTGATTGGATGCTGCTGTGCATGTCAAGGTCATTTTAAATTGCTGAAGGGAGTTGCTACCTACCAATATTCAGTGAGTGTAGATACGCCAGGCCAGATGTGGTTTGTTGAAGTAGAGGAATAGGCTCCAGACCATGGCGGTCAAAGTCCTTTTGTTCAACATACTGAGAATGAGCAAAACAAACAAACAAACAAACAAAGTCATTTCTGACAATATTACAAGCAAAAAGGCACATGAAGCAAAATATTTAAAGAAAATCTTGGATTTGCAGAATTTTCTTTCACTAATGAAACTTCAGTGGGTCCAATAACCCAGCTTGCAATGTCATTCCCGCCTCCCCATTTCTTTGGCCGTCTTCTCCTTGCTGATGGCATTAGCATTGCTCACATTGTAGTTTGGCACACTGACCTCTACATCTACCGAGGCCAGGCGCCAGGTCTCTGACACCTCCTCCTACCACCCCCTTGATCATGACCCCACCCCCGACCACCAAAACATCATCTTCCAGACCATCCACAACCTCATTACTTCAGGTGACCTCCCACCCACAGCCTCCCACCTCATCGTTCCCCAACCCTGCACCACCTGTTTCTATCTCCTTCCCAAAATCCACAAACCTGACTGCCCTGGTCCACCCATCGTCTCCGTCTGCTCCTGCCCCACCGAACTTATCTCCACTTATCTCAACTCCATTTTCTCCCCCCTGTCCAGGAACTCCCCGCCTACGTCTGTGACACCACCCACGCCCTCCACCTCCTCCAAAACTTCCGATTCCCTGGTCCCCAACACTTCATCTTCACCATCGACATCCAGTCCCTATATACTTGCATTCCCCATGCAGATGGCCTAAAGGCCCTCCGCTTCTTCCTGTCCCGCAGGCCCGACCAGTCCCTCTCCATTGACACCCTTGTCAGCTTAGCTGAACTCGTCCTCACCCTTAACAACTTCTCCTTCAATTCCTCCCACTTCCTACAAAGGGGGTGGCCATGGGTACCCGCATGGGCCCAAGCTATGCCTGCCTCTTTGTAGGATAAGTGGAACAATCCCTCTTCCGAAGCTACACTGGCCCTATCCCCCACCTATTCCTCAGTTATATCGATGACTGTATCAGCGCTGTCTCGTGCTCCCACGAGGAGCTCGAACAGTTCATCCACTTCACTAACACTTTTCACCCCAACCTTAAGTCACCTGGACTATTTCCAATACCTTTCTCTCCTTCCTGGACCTCTCTGTTTCCATCTCTGGAAACCATCTGGAAACTGATATCCATTTCAAGCCTACCGACTCCCACAGCTACCTAGAATACACCTCCTCTCACCCACCTTTCTGCAAAAATGCCATCCCCTATTCCCAATTCCTTCGCCTCCTCTGCATCTGCCCCTGAGATGAGGCATTCTACTCCCAGACATCCCAGATGCCCTCGTTTTTCAAGGACCGCAACTTCGCCTCCAGAGTGGTCAAAAACGCCCTCGACTGCATGTCTTGCGTTTCCCGCAACTCATCCCTCACACCCCCTCCCCGCAATAACAACAAAAATAAAATCAAACTCGTCCTCACGTACCACCCCACCAACCTCCAGATCCAATGCATCAACCTCCGGCACTTCCGCCATCTGCAATCTGACCCCACCACCAAAGACATTTTCCCCTCCCCACCCTTACCTGCTTTCCGGAGGGACCACTCTCCCCATGACTTCCTTGTCCGCTCCACAGTCCCCACCAGCCCCACCACTTTTCCCTGCAACCGCAGGAAGTGCTACACCTGCCCCTACACCTCCCCCCTCACCCCCATCCCAGGCCCCAAAATAACCTTCCACATTAAACAGATGTTCACCTGCACATCTGCTAATGTGGTATACTGTATCCGCTGTTCCTGATGTGGCCTCCTCTACATCGGGGAAACTAAGCGGAGGCTTGGAGACCGCTTTGTGGAACACCTACACTCGGTTCGCTACAAACGACTGCACCTCCCAGACATGAACCACTTCAACTCCCCCTCCCACTCCTTGGACGACATGTCCATCCTGGGCCTCCTCCAGTGCCACAACGATGCCACCCGAAGGTTGCAGGAACAGCACCTCATATTTCGCTTGGGAACCCTGCAGCCCAATGGTATCAATGTGGATTTCACAAGTTTCAAAATCTCCCCTCCCCCTACCGCATCCCAAAACCAACCCAGCTCGTCCCCACCTCCCTAACCTGTCCGTCTTCCTTGGACTGACCAATCCCCACCCTACACTCACCTTTACTGGCTCCTTGACCTGTCCATCTCCTCTCCACCTATCTGCTCCTTTATTCATCTTCCATCCATCTCCCCCTCTCTATTTATTTCAGAATCCCCTTCCCCTCCCCCATTTCTGAAGAAGGGTCCATGCCCGAAACGTCAGTTTTCCTGCTCCTCTGATGCTGCTTGGCCTGCTGTGTTCATCCAGCTCCACACCTTGTTATCTCTGTAGTTTACCCCAGTATTTTTCTTAGCTACTCACTTTACTGTAAAATTGTTTTTCATCCTGTTTGAAGACAGACAAATGATTGTGGCAGGTGGCCTTAAACGACTGAATCTTTCACGCGGTGCCTCCCGAGTTGTGAAAGAATGCAAGTGTGGAACGGACTTTGCAGTTCCAATCACTCACTGGTTAGATGCCACCTTTCAAACTCATTCCCAATAAATTTCGTCCACAGCTGCTAACAGTAACAAGTATCAAGGAATTTGGAGAGATCTCACCTCCTGCAGAGTAGCTGCACAGAGCTCAGTGGCTATGTACTGGAACTGACGGTCCTTCTCTGTGCAGAAGTAACGGATTACATTTGGATGTTCGTCAGATTCACGGAGCAATTGAACCTCACGGTCTGCAAAGCTAAAGCATTCCGGCAAAATCCTTTTCACTGCAACATATCGATCATCAAATCTGCCCCTTGAAAAGGCAAGTTAGCAAAGTTAGTTATCGACAGGCAGAGCTTAAAATGGAATAAGCTTCAAAGTCAGATAAGAGGAAAGAAAGCTGGTGTTGCTACTCTATACATCAGGAGACAAAATGAAATCTTTGTCCTTAAGCCATCATTGTTTATATATTGAGAATGAATCAAACTTACTTGAACACAATTGTTCCTTCAGCACCATGTCCCAGCACGTCTTTTGTATGAAACAAAATCTTTCCAACTCTCACTATGTCAGAATCATCATCTGAGGAACAAAGGAAATAATATGAAGCTAAATCAAAAATACCGCAGATGTACCAAATGTGAAAAAAAAACTTGCTGGAAAAACTTAGTAAGATGGACAGCATCTGTGGAGAGAGAAACAGAATTAACATCTGTTGCATTGCTAACGTCGCTTCAGTTTCTCTCTCAACAGATAATGCCAAACTGGTTGCGCTCCTCCAGCACTTCCTGCTTTCTGTTAATCAGATAAAGTTGTCATAGAGCCATATAGCATGAAAACACACCCTTCAGTCCAACCAGTCCATGCCTACAATGTTCCCAAACTGAACTAGTCCCACATGCCTGTGTTTGGCACATATCCCTCCAAAGCTTTCCCATTCATTAACTTATCCAAATGTCTTTTTGTAACTGTTCCTCCAGCAGTTCATTCCACTCACAAACCACTCTTATAAAAAAAAAAGTTGCCCCCACATCCTTTTTAAAATGTTCTCCTCTCACTGGAAAAATATGCTCCCTAGTTTTGAACTTCCCCACCCTGGGGAAAAGACCTTTGCTATTCACCTTATCTACGCCCCTCATGATTTTATGAGCCTCTATAAAGGTCACCCCTCAACCTCCTACGGTCCAGTGAAAAAAGCGCCAGGCTACCCAGCTTCTCCTTATAGCTCAAACTCCCCCATTCCAGGCAACATCCTGGTAAATCTTTTTTGAACCCTCTCCCACTTAATAACATCCTTCCTGTAGCTGGGCAACAAGAACTGCACACTACTCCAAAAATAGCCTCAAAGTCCTGTACAAACTCAACATGACGTTCCAACACCAACACTTAAAGGGCTGAGCAATGAAGGCAAGTGTGCTAAATGCCTTCTTAACCACCCTGTCTACCTGTGCATCTTTTTGAATGATTTTTTAAATGCCATGTTAACTTCATAATTACGGCTAGGTGCCATGAAATCATCCCTACTTTGGAACAAGATGCAAGATAGTGACTGGATTTCTCTGAATGATGAAAGATCGTTAACAATGGAATTTGAGGAGACATGAGAGACCAACATTTTTCCCTGCACTGCTTCAAGTTTATCTTTTCTGACCACTAGTGAGGTTCTAATGGGCTGACTACTTAGTTATGATGCTGCTGACATTAGGTGTGATCAACGTATGTCCCAAAAATCCTGAGGAACACTGAATTGTGCACTTGAAATTAAGAAAAGCTCCAATCAGCTATTTGCTGCTTTATGTCTGCAAATTACCAGTTTCCTGGCCATTCTCTATTGATCCAGAAAAGAAGGTCTGAACTATAGTTTTCTGCAAACAAAACACTGCAGAATATGCATGAGACAGGTCAAGCTCGATGATGCTACTTTAATGATCACTAACAGCAAAACAGGACAGCCCTCCTCGACTTTTATCCCTTTCACCTCTCAGCCTGGCATAGTTGCCTTCCCACCTCATCCAGCCAAGCTTTACCTCCATCCTCTTGTTCTGTGGCCGAACTGCCAAATTCCGAGATGGAATGATTGGAATACAGTGAATGGTTCGACACTCGTGGAGATGCATTTGGCGTGTTGGTGCTTGAACTCTCTGTTCGCAATCTGGATGTCTCCAGGAAGTCCGATTCTGGAGCCAGAAGAGGGGGGCGGAAAATAAGCTGCCGTTTCTGCATTAGTTCCAGCCTTTCCTCCAAGTGCTTCTGAAACTGTTGGTGTTGTAACTGTTGCTGCTGTTGTACTGTCTAAAAAATACGTATTTTGGTAATTTTTTTGCAGCAATTGCATTGCACATGAATTTTTTTTTAAAATAATCTTTAGCTAAATGCGCACTAGTTCAGTAAATTCTAACCAGTGAACCTTGCCCTGACTTACTTGTATGGCCTATGTTGTAATAGTTTCTCCTTTTTCACATCCAGATGCTTAACTTTACATTACACAGAATTACATGATGTAGCAACAGATCAGTCAGAGTTTACCCTCTACAGCAACCCCCAGCTGCTTCATTGCTATTCACCCTAGTAAATGTATCCACCAACTCCTTCTCCATCAATGGTTTATTTAGATTCTTCTAAAATGGATTCTTGCCTTTCCCTCAATCAATCCTCCACCTGGAGCTACTCGGATTTGATTGTTTTTCTTTTTAAAGGATTCATACCAGATTTTTGATTTCCATGTTAAGTTTTATAACCAGAGGTGATTCAAAAGTAATGTTACAGCTACATTCACATAAGCTGCAGCAATGGCTTAATGGTATTATCATTGGACTGTTAATTCAGAGACCCAGATAACATTCTGGTGATACGGGTTCGAATCCCGCCACGACAGATGGTGGAATTTGAATTCAATAAAATATCTGGAATTAAAAGTCTCGTGATGACCGTGAATCCATTGTCGATTGTCAGGAAAAACCCATCTGGTTCACTAATGTCGATTAGGGAAGGAAACTGCCATCTTTAGCCTGTCTGGTCTACATGTGACTCCAGACCCACAGCAATGTGGTTGACTCTTAACTGCCCTCTGGGCAATTAGGGATGGGCAATAAATGCTGCCTAGCCAACGATGCCCTCATCCCAAGAATGAATTTTTGAAAAGTTTTGTTTTTGCTTTTATGACGATGGCAAGATCTGATCTAGAGTAAAATAAATGGTTTCATGGAATTAAACTTTGATGGTTTTTAAATTTAAAAACATTAAGGATCTGGAGTGTGAAAAGATTATTTTGTTTCTTCCCCTTTCATCATCCATTGATAACTTTTTTTTTCCTTTATTCATTCATGGATGAGGGTGTCGCTGGCTGAGCAGCATTTATTGTCCATCCCTAATCGCCCAGAGGGCAGTTAAGAGTCAATCCCATTGCTGTGGGTCTGGAATCACATGTAGGCCAGACCAGGTAAGGATGACAGTTTCCTTCCCTAAAAGGACATTAGTGAAACAGATGGGTTTTTCCTGACAATCGACAATGGATTCATGGTCATCATTAGACTCTTAATTCCAGATATTTACTGAATTGAAATTCCATCATCTACTGTGGTGGGATTTGAACCCAGGTCCCCAGAACATTACCTGGGTCTATGGATTAACTGTCCAGTGATAACACCACTTGGCCATCACCTCCCCCTATCTCCCATCACTCCTCCTAACTCATTTAACACCAGTGCCTTCCTTGGCCCCCAGCAAGAATAAGTGACAATCATTTTGATAAATTCTTAAAATGCTTTGAACAGATCATATATAAGTTTCACATGTTCCATCAGAGCAGCTTCAATATCTATATATGGACTTTGCTTCATTTATGAGAACTGTTCCCAAGAGAAAGGTTCAGAGTCAAAAAAAGGAAATGGAGAAATATTTTGAAATTTAACATTAGAAACTGCCCGATTAGTTCTGAAGAAGTCACATTGGATTTGAATGTTAACGTGGTTTCTCTCTTCAGACCAGCTAGATCTGCTGAGTTACTCCAGCATTTTGACTTTGTTTCAAACTGCCCATGTGCTCATTTTCTTTCCTATTTATTATTGATCAGTGTGGGGCAGCCTTATATACAATTTCTAATACAGGAAGAACATGTCAAGTTGGACTCACAAAGAAGTCCCATGTCTCAGATTATTTACTGCCACCAACTTCCTTTGGTGTGGAGATTTCTTTCCAGTGATTCGTTCATCAACTGGTAAAACTGCTAGGTGGGCACTGTGGAATTTGCCAAAATGCTCAGGAGCATTCGTACACAAACACTGATCTGGGATACCTTAACAGAAGACAAAATAGGCACAGGCATAGGCCATTAGTCCCTTTGAACGCATTCCAACACTCAATCTCCAATCTCCTGCCCCCTAAGCATTCTCAACTTTACCCATCTTACCAGGGAAATGCAAAATGAGAAAGATTCCCGCTCAGGAATGAGAAGAAAGAAAAAAAATCAGGACCCAGTGCCAAGTACAGAGGGTGAGAGTGAGAAGTGACAGGAGGATGATTCTCAGCTCACTCACAACAACTATGGAGAGCATCACGGACGATCCAGTGACAAGCTGATTGGAAACATATTTCCGTGGATAAAACGGTGGGTGAAAAATGGAAGAATTTCAAAAGCAAGCTGAATAGGGAGACATTTAGCTACATACCCATGAGAATTAAATACTGGGTATCCAAAGCTACAGTCCCCTCAATGACTAAGGACACTGTTGAGAAAATATGGAAGAAAAGGGAGGTACATGATGCACAGCGGAATAATAATAGCAACAGAGAATCAGGTAGAGTATGTCCAATGCACGAAAGAAGCCAAGACTAGTAGGATGCCTAAGAGGAGGATTAAGGAAAGGATGGCAGGCTGCACGTAAACAAACAGTAAGATGTTCTTCAAGCATATTAAAAGATTAGTGAAGGATAGAATGAGGCGTAAGGAACAAGCAGGGTAAACTGCTCACTGAAACAGAGGCACTAAATGAGTACTTTGCTTCTGTATTTACCAAATTAGAAAATGGTGACAATGGCCCAATTGAAAATGTGGGTGCTGGGCAACTGAGTAGTGTAGTGCTGGATAAGAAGAAGTGCTAAAAATGCTGGATGCATTCCAGGTAGAGAAAATCACCAGACCCAGATGGGATGCATCCTAGATCGCTGAGACAGGTAACCCAGGAAACTACCGACCTGTCAACTTGACCAGAAATAGTGGGAAAACTGATGGGGGCCAAAATACATGATAACATATACATGCACTTACAGAAAAATAAGTTAATATTAGACTGTCAACACGGCTTTGTCAAAAGTGGGTCATGTCTGGCAAATTTAACTGAGTTCTTTGACAAGGTGACACAGGCAGTGGATGAGAGTAGTGCTGTGGATGTAGTATATTTGGACGTTCGGAAAGTATTTGATAAGATGCCACATGGCAGGTTGCTTAGAAAATTAGAAACGTTTTGGATTGATGGGCCCTTAGCAGCATGGATTAGAAGTTTGTTAAAAAGTTAAGAAACAGGGATAGGTATGGATGGGCATTTCTCAGACAGGATACAAGTTGAAAGTAGTGTTCCCCGGAGATTGGTGCAGGATCCTTGCTTTTTCTGATTTACGTAAACGATTTGGAGAGGATGTTGAGGGCAAAATCTCTAAATTTGCCAAGCCAGGAAGAACACTGAATTGTGAGGATGACGCTGAGCGACTTCAGAAGGACACTGACAGTTGGCCAAATGGGCAAACAACTGGCTGAGAAATGCATTTCAATGCAGAGAAATGTGAGCTATTGCAGTCTCGCAGAAGAAACATAGACAGACAATACAGGCTCAATGGTACAACTTTGGGGGGAGTACAGGAGCAGAGGGACCTTGGGGCTCATATGTCTAATTCTCTGAAGGTGGTCAGGCAAATGGAAATAGATAAAGGTAGTTTATAGGATCTTTAGGTTTATAAACGGGCATAGACTATAAAAGCAAGGAAATGTTGCTGCACCTCTACAAATCACTGGTCAGACCACATTTGCAGTATTATGTTCAGTTCCGGGCACCTTGGGAAGTATGTTAAAGCCCTGGAGAGTGTGCAAAGGAGATTTACTAGAATGCTACCAAGAACTAAGGATTTTAGATAAATGGAAAAATTAGAGAAACTGGGCTTATTCTCCTTGATGCAGAAAAGATTAACAGGTGACCTTATTGAGGTGTTCAAAATAATTAACAATTTTGACAACATAAAGGAGGATATTCTATTTCCACTGGTCAGAATGTCAGTAACTAGTAACTTCAAGACTGTCAGTGAGAGCACTAGGAGTAAGATGAGCAGAAACTTCTTTATTTGGGATTTGGAATATAGTGCTTGGGGGAATGGTGGAGGCAGATTCCGCAGGAGAATTTGATAGAGACCTGAAAATATCTTTGAAAGCGATAAATTTAGAGGGTTACAGATACAAGGCTGGAGAATGGGACTAGCTGGTTAAATCTTTTAGGAATCGGTAAAGATACAATGAGTCAATTGGTCTCCTCCTGTACTGAAAAATTCTATGATTCCGTAATAGTATGTTCCAGGATAGCTGTGGAGAGAGAGTAATGCACCAGTCTGACCTGATGCAAAGAAAGAGGAATTCCTTGTGCTAATACCAGCTTCTGATGACTGACACAAAAGCAAGGGTGGGCACGGCACATTCAGGGATCAAACAGATGCCCATGTGGGAGCTGAAAACTTTAAACTGCTCCAAACAGGTTTGTTTGCATTGTTTTCATATAAATAAAGAAACTGCACAAAGCAGAATGTTGCCCATATGTTTTACAATTAAAAACAAATGTGACTCATTGAAACAGTGAGCAAGTGGGAATAAATTTCATAATCAATCCACCCCTTGAGCCTGTCAACTGCAGGAGAAGTAAATGTGTTAGAAACTAAAACACTGCAAATCCTGAAAATCTGAAACAAAACTAAGAAAAAAGTCTGCTGAAAACGCTCAACAGGTAAGACAGTGTCTGTAGACCGAAACAGTTCACGCCTCAGGCTGAGCTAACCTTTCATCAGAACTGCTGAGCAATGTTGCTGCTAACGGATAACACTGCAACAGAGTGAATCTCATCAGGAAAATATATCAGCAGGAGACGCTTTAGCGATGAAGTTACCTGAATAAATAGGCCAATGATTTAACAAATAAACAGACTGTCTGGTGCATACTGAATCATACCAAGCATCAAGGAGGCAATCAATTCCTGCTCTGCATCGATTCGGTTGATGCAGCAGTGTGTTACATTTGGGCTCCAGGCTAAAAGGAATCTGCCAGGGTATTTACTCCAAATCATTACAAGGAGAACACCCCAAAAATCTTGGATCAGGCTCAACGATGTTGCAGACGATCAACTAGCTTCAAGACACACAAGACCCAGACGTGCATGCTGAAGCAGCCCTTGGCCAAGAGCTCCCCAATGAACAACCAGCAGTGGAATTAGACACAGCAAACAACAGCCTGCAACAGCTGAGACTGTGAACTCTAGAATTCCCTCTCAAAACCTTTGCACTACTATTTCTTTAAAATACTCTAAAACCTCTGAGCAACATTTAGCCTTGTACCCTAATTTTTTTTATTGCTCAATGTCAAATTTGGTTTGACAATTGCCCGAGATACCCTGGGATGCTGTAACATACTTGCAGCACTGCCACTGCTCGGTGAACAGACCAGAAAACAGTGAGGAAGAATATGTTAAGACAATAAAGAGATTGCATTAAGTACCAATGAGAGCAGATGACTAAAGGATGTTGCCTTCACCATACACATCTGATCCCAACCTACTCCCCCATGTAATCTGCCATCATTCATGTTCACTTAATACTTTGGTGGACATTACCTTAGGATAGGTGATGACAAAGGCCACCCATCCTGCCAGTAGAAAGGTGCTGAAGACAATTGTGGCCATATCTTTCAACACAGAATCCACAGGAGCTTCGAGCTTGGGTTGCGATTTGCTATATTTTTCTTTAAGGTCGTTCAGAATATCGAAATCTTCTGCAACTTCATCAATGTTTGGGAAATGCTGAAAGAATTTTTTTTTTTTTTTTAAAAAAGAGATTATTGTACAAAATGCAACAGAAAGAGACATTTTCAGAAATTCAAACACATCCAAAATTGCTTAGTCTGGAATCTTAACACAGGCCAGTGATAGAAACTTGCTGGTATTGTCAAATGAGGTCACAGACAGAGGTTTCCCTCTTTGCCCAAAGGAAGGCAAAGCTGATACAGAATTAATCAGATGCAATGAGGTTGGTTCTGGTCCAACCTGGCATAGCAGAGTGGCTGAACTGGGGCTCTGTCACTAGCAAGGCTGGGGGGAAAAGGCTGAAAACTATTCCCAGAAAAATATTTCTGAAGGGTCTAGGCCCGAAATGTCAGCTTTCCTGCTCCTCTGATGCTGCTTGGCCTGCTGTGTTCATCCAGCTCTGCACCTTGTTATCCCAGAAAATAAGCAAGATTCCTGTTCCTAATGTTTATTCCACATTTCCCCTGGTGCACTGATATCCAATGAGTAAGAAGAATTCACACAGATGGTCAGTCTCCTGTTGTGGGCAAGATACAGTGGCAATAACCTTTCAGTTGAAACCCTAAAACCATAAGACATAGGAGTAGAATTAGGCCATTCAGCCCACCAAATTTGCTCCACCATTCAATCACGGCTGATATGTTTCTCGATCCCATTCTCCTGCCTTCTCCCCATAACCCTTGATCCCCTTACGATCAAGAACCTATCTCTGTCTTAAAAACTGAAGACAACAAATGCTGGAGATCACAGCGGGTCAGCCAGCATCCACGAAGACAGAGCAAGCTAACAGACTCGAAACATTAGCCTGTCAGTTAATCAATTCTCTATCCATTCCAGTACCTTGCCCCTAACACGACAGGTTCTTATTTAGCAGCCTCCTACGCAGCACCTTATAAAAGCCCTTCTCGAAATCCTAACAGATCATGCACTGGCTCTCCTTTGTCTAACTTGCTCATTACCTCCTCAAAGAATCCTAACAGATTTGTCAGGCATGACCTGCCCTTATCGAAGGTATGCTGACTCAACCTATTTTACCAAGCACTTTCCAGTATGCTGCAATCTCATCCTTAATATGAACTCTAAAATCTTACCAATGACTGATGTCAGGCCACCCAGCCTATAATTTTCCATCTTTTGCCTCCTTCTCTTCTTAATAGGGTGTTACATTAGCCATTTTCCAATTCTCTGGGACTTTCTCTGTCTCCATTCCTGAAAGATCACCACCAGTGCCTCCACAATTTCCTCAGCTATCTCCTTCAGAACCTTGGGGTGTAGTCAATCTGGTCCATGTCATTTATCCACCTTCACAACTTTCAGTTTCCCTAGCACCTTCTCCTCAGCGATGGCCACTACACTCACCTCTTCCCCCGACTCTCGAAGCTCTGGTACGCTGCTGGTGTCTTCCACTGTGAAAACAGATGCAAAGTGCCTATTCAGTTCCTCTGCTATTTCTTTGATCCAGAGCACTACTTCTCCAGTGTCATTTTCCAGTGGTCCAATGTCCACTCGTGCCTCTCTTTCGCCTTTCAGATATCCAAAAATACTCTTGCAATTTTCTTTTATATTACTAGTCACTTACTCTTGTAGTGCTTTTTTAGTTATCCTCTGCTGGTTTTTAAAAGGCTTTCCAATCCTCTGGCTTCCCACTCATCTTCACCACATTGTATGCTTTCTCTTTTGCTTTTATTCTGTTCCTGACTTTCCCTATCATCCCTGGTTGCCTCATCCTTCCCTTAGTTTGGTTTGTTTCCCTGGGGATAAATTTTTGCTGTGTCACCCAAACTACCATTAGAAACTCCTGCCATTGCTACTCCACCGTCTTTCCTGCTAGACTCCCCTTCCAATCAACTCTGGCTCCACCCCCTCCAACTGCAGGGTGAATTCAATCATATTACAGTCACTGGCCCCAAGGGGTTTCTTCACTTTAAGCTCCCTAATCAATTCTGCCTCATTACACATCACCAATCCAGAATTGACTGTTCCTTAGTGGGCTTTACTACATGCTACTCCAAAAAATATCTTGTAGAGATTTCACAACTTCCTTTTTTCAGGATCTGCTACCAGCCCGATTTTCCCAGTTGACTTGCATATTGAAATCCCCCATGATTACTGGGCCTTTCCTACATGCATTTTCTATCTTCTGATTTATTTCCTGCTCCACATCCTTAACACTGATAAGAAGCCTGCACATAACTGCCATCAGGGTTTTCTTTCTCCACCTTTGAAGTTCTTCAACTCTACCCACACAGATTCAACACCTTCTGAGTCTATATCACTTCTTGCCATCGATTTAATTTCATTTCTTACTAACAAGGCAATCATGATGCTCTGCCCATCTGCCATTCTTTCAATAGGACATGTCTCCTTGGATATTTAGTTCCCAGCCCTGATCGCCTTGCAGCCACGTCTCTGCAGCAACATTGTACCCGCCAATTTCAATCGGCTCTACAAGCTCATTTACCTTATTTCATAAACTGCGTGTATTTAAGTATCACACTCTCAATCCTCCAGCGACTGCCCCTCTTCTTATAGTTGTCCCTTTATCTGCCATGTCCGAGGTTAAATTCCTGAGCCTGTGTGTTCTCGGAGGTAGCTGGAACCCCTAGAACTATAGCTCACTCCCAAATCTTATTCAGCTTAAGATCCATTGGACTTGGGTATACGTTACCTATAACATACGTATCAATTTCCATACAGATTGTTCTTGTTTTACATGTCCTAATGTTGATTTCTTTGAACATTGTGTTATCTTTAGAGCCTGTTTCCTTCAAGTGACATAATCATTTCCAGTTTAACATCATTGCACGTGTATTGTGTGTCAACACGTGGCATTCAACCTCCGGATTCAATGCATCATTCTCCGCCACTTCCACCACCTGCAATCTAACCCCACTACCAAGGATATATTTCCCTCCCCACCCTTATCTGTCTTCCGGAGGGACTGCTCTCTCCATGACTCCCTCATCCACTCCACACTCCCCACTAGCCCCACTAGACCCACCACCCCCGGCACCTTTCCCTGCAACTGCAGGAGGTGCTACACCTGCCCCTACACCTCCCCCTCACCTCCATCTCAGGCCCCAAAATAACCTTCCACATTAAACAGATGCTCACCTGCACATCCGCTAATGTGGTATATTGTATCAGCTGTTCCCAATGTGGCCTCCTCTACATCAGGAAAAGTAAGCGGAGGCTTGGAGACCGCTTTGTGAAGCATCTATGCTCAGTTCGTGACAAATGACAACACCTCCCAGTCACAAACCACTTCAACTCCCCCTCCCACTCCTTGGACGACATGTCCATCCTGGGCCTCCTCCAGTGTCACAACGATGCCACCCGAAAACTGGAGGAACTGCACCTCATATTCTGCCTGGGAACCCTGAAGCCCAATGGTCTCAATGTGGACTTTACAAGCTTCAAAACCTCCCCACCCGTGACCTCATCCCAAGACCAGCACCCCCTCTCGTCCCCGCCTCCTTGACCTGTCCGTCTTTTCTCTCACCTATCCGCTCCTCCCACCTCACTGACCAACCCCCACTCCTACTTTCTACCTACACTCACCTCACCTCTACTAGCCTCATCCCCACCTCCTTGACCTGTCTGTCTTCCCTCCCAGCTACCCGCCCCTCCCTCCTCACTGACCAACCCCCATCCCAACTCCCTACCTACACTCAGCTTTACTGGCTTCATCCCCGCCTCCTTGACCTGTCCGTCTTCTGTCCACCTATCTGCTCCACTATCCACCTTCTATCATCGCCTCCCCCTCTCTCTGTTTGTTTCAGAGCCCCGTTCCCCTCCCCCATTTCTGAAGAAGGGTCCAGACCCGAAACGTCAGCTTTCCTGCTCTTCTGATGCTGCTTGGCCTGCTGTGTTCATCCAGCTCTACACCTTGTTATCTCAGATTCTCCAGCATCGGCAGTTCCTACCATCTCGGAATCTGGTTTTAACACTGATTCCTATGGGACCCTATGATTCACTTCAAAGTTATTTACTTAATGCCATGATTTTCAAGAACAGGCTCACACTTTCGTGAGGACTATTTGCACTCTTTTTAGGTAAGGATATTGAGAGATATTGCATAAAAGCAGGAGTTCAGGTTTAGATCAGCCACGATCCAAATGAATGGTGGAGCAGGTTTGAGAGACTGTATTGCTTCCTCTGCTTTCCATGTTGCACATTTTAAAAACACATCTGCTTTCAGATCACATAAACACAGTTTACAAGTCACACAGTGTGTAAAGTGAGAGAAAAACAATGGAGATATACGTACATCTTCAAATATTTCATTCTGTGGTCTAGTGGCAATTACATCATCTGGAATTTTCTGCACATTCTCAGGAAAATCATTAAGGATCTTGGTTTGGGCTGCTAGTGGCATTTCATGGTGTCCTGAAAATAATAAATCCACAGCTCAGCACATCCAAATTAGCAAATGACAGACATCAGGTTGCAACATCAAGGAAGTTGCTCAGTCCTAAAGTAAGCAAAGAAGTTTGCAGATGACACAAAAGCTGACTGTGTGGCTGATAATGAGGAAGTGAACTAGTTAGAAAACCAGCAAATGAAATTCAGCTCAAAGAAGTGAGAGATGATGTGTTTGGAGAGTTCAAACAAGGCAGAGGAATACACAATAAATGGGACCAGACTGAGAGCTGTAGAGGAAGTTAAGGATCATGGAGCACACATTCATAGATCCCTGAAGGTAGAAGGACAAGCTGATAGAGTGGTTAAGGCAGCATATAGAATATTTCCTTTATTAACCAAAGTACAGAATATAAGAGCAGGGAGCTACGTATAATGTTAGTTAATGCCAAAGCTTGAATATTGCATACAGTTCTGGTCATCTTAGTGCAGACAGGATGTAATTGCACTAGAGGGAGAATAAAGGAGATTTAAGAAGATGTTGCTAAGTCAGGAGAATTTGTAGCTAGGAGGAAAGATTAAATAGGCTGAAAGGGTCCAGACCCGAAACGTCAGCTTTCCTGCTCCTCTGATGCTGCTTGGCCTGCTGTGTTCATCCAGCTCTACACGTTGCTGGAGAATCTGAGATAACATCAGCAGTTCCTACTATCTTTAAATAGGCTGGGGCTGTTTTCCTTGGAACAGACGAGACTAATGGGGAGATTTGTTAAGGTGTAAGAAGTGGAGAGGGGCCTGGGTATTTTGGATGGGAAGGACCTATCTGCCCTGCCGCAGAAGTCAGTGACCAAGCCGAATCGATTTCAAGTTATTAGAGGAAGGATGTTTCACCCTGAGGATAGTACAGCATAGAACAGACATTGAGGTATCTAGGTCTGTACCTGGAGACCCTTAATCTGTATCTGGATACTGATCAAGTGCTGGGAACAGGATTAGATTGGTTGCTTCTTTCTCAGCCAATACAGATATGATCAACAAAATGGTGCCCTTCTGTCCAATAAAAATTTGCCACATTTTCTAAACATCTGAAGAGGAGAAATGCACTGAGATATGGAAGAGGACATGGAAGTGGCAAGTACGTGAACTGCTCCTTCGGAGGCCTAGCATAGATACAATGGGTCGCATGGTCTTCTGTGCTGTAACCACGTTCCTATGATTTTATGAAAACTTGCCCTATTACAACACTTCTACCACAATAAGAAAACTACTTACAACTTCCCCTTTATTGGAATATATTACAGACCAATCACTTGTTACATCAAAATCACACAACACATTACATGATCTCAGGAACAGTGAGAAATCTGTTTCATAATAATGCAGTGTCACATAAATCATGGCCAAGTTTGTTGGGTAAGTTTGTTAGCTCCAATTAAATCAGTTGCAGAACTTTTTTGACTCCATGAGGCAGCACAGTAAAATCTAATAAGCCGCCTTAAAAAATACAAAAATTCAAATAATAGTAGCAATGGAATTCATTTTGCTTTATCTCAGTTATTTTTCTCTCACCCAGCCAGAAAAGAATACAACGGAGGTGGGAAAAACAGCTTGGACTGCAGAATGTTTTGCTGTAATCACAGGGTTTTCTTGTCCCTAGCTTTTACCTTGCGTTTTCCAGAGCTTCTCAATCATCAGGGCACGTTACAAATGGGGTACACTTCATTTTGACCAATGCTTTTACTGCCATCACTACTTTACTGTCTAATTTGATCTTCTTTTTCAAACACCACTGACAAGCATTGTCCACTTAAAACAGTATTGTATTTGCGATATCAATTCAACTCAGCTTATAGGAGCTTCTTGCAGATTTTCACCCTTTCAGCATGGACATAGACCAGGTCCCAAAGATGAAATAAGGTTGTGCTAAAAGATCTGCATTACATTAACCAACTTCATGTTATCCACAACTAAGATTTTGAAGCTAGTGGCATTGAAAAGAGAGAGAGAGAGAGACAGAGAAATCCTACCCTGTATGATAATGGTCATTTTCCATGCTTTTTCCCTTAAATTAATAAAGTATAAGTCCCTGTTTCCTCTTTTGTTTGCTGCCCAGCTGTTTGTTGCACTGTGCAGTTCCTTTAGCATTAGCAGGTGCTAAGATCATGTGATTCGTAAAGGGCACCATGGCTCCTAATGCAGGCTAGAATATGGATTTAAGTGACTGTGTGGTTCCACATTCCTGGCCTAATTTACTTTTCCACAAACCCATTTAGTGATTGTGGTCATTTAGCCAAAGAAAAGCACTCTCATTCTGAACTGATGAACTGTTGCCTACTCCATCCACCCAAATGAAGGCCTACAGACTTGAGACAAATACAATTTTCTTTTACATCAAATCCAGCTGAGATTACAAAGTTTGGCTCATCCAGTCGATGCTATTGTTTATCCTTCATGAACAGCAACTCCAATCACAAGTCCACATTTCCCTTTATGCCCCCAGTCATTCCCAATCTACTAATTCATTTGTTCTGGAAAGGACACTGTACAGGCAAGGCTTAGATAAAATTCTCTTTTTTTTGCAAGGGCAACACTTAAAATACATTCTGAGACCCCCGCCCCACTGATAATCACAGTCTTGAGGAATTCCTGCTTACACCCACATTCTCAGGCAGCCTTCGACCCTGAGCTGTCATTTTGATAATCTTGACACACACTGCCCACCAGGGGGCACTCTGACACCATGATTATTCTTACCAATCAGAAACCACTGGTTCCTCAGGTAATCAATTGTCTTCGAGACTCCCGGTGTGAACTTAACGTCAATACTGGGGGTGATGTCACACTCGCCACGATCAGAGATGGTAATACGTTCGGTTTTGGGACCTTCAAGCAATGGGAATGCACTACCTCTTGGCTGTGAACGCAAAAACCACATTATAGACAGTTGTTGGAATATGGTATAATTACCTATAAAAACGCCTGTACTCTCTTGAATCCCTGCACATTCTTCAAGCCCCAATAATTGGAAGTACTTTGTGTCCTCACTAAAGGTTCAAAAAGGGTCTTTTTAAAACAAAAGAGTTAAGAGTCATTTTAAAGCTACAAAGGTGAAGGGAAGAAATAGATAAACTGAATAAAAACTGAAAGAACTGCGATGCTGTAAATCAGGAACTAAAACAGAAGTTGCTGGAAGCTCAGCAAGTCTGGCAGCATCTGTGAACAAAAAAAAAATCAGAGTTCTGAGGAAGGGTCACCAGACCCGAAACCCTAACTCTGATTTTTTTGTTCACAGATGCTGTCAGGCCTGCTGAGCTTCCAGCAACTTCTGCTTTTGTTCCTGAAGTAGATAAACTGACCACACTATTTAATCCTAAACAAATGCAAACTTAGGCAAACTGGAATTCATGATATTCACAAAAAGCAAGTGTTGTCTTTTCAAATTAAAGATTAGTAAACAAATGCTGGCTTAGTTGGTTAAAATTATTAAGTACATAGGGGTAGCTCATGATTAAATTCCTAATCACTGCGGAGTTAGCTGAATCCGCCCAGAACATCAGGCGCACTGTGATTTTCTTCAGTGCATCATGGTTGGGAAAAGGGGCAAGTATTCACCCTGGATCTGCATCCGACTAAATTTAACAACTTCAGGCGTGAAGAAGTTAGTGGACACAATTCTGGGCTTAATTGTAGTCACTCCCTGTTGGTCCAACATTTTGCTGTTGTTAGTTATTCAAATACTAGAAGACAGAGAGACACTTGATTAAGATAAGGGAGTCCAATCCAAACCGGTGCTTACAGAAGAAGTAGAAATTGGGTAAAAACAAATACAATACCTGATGGATGTATTAAGCCAACAAATACTGTCCTTCATTTTAAATAAAATTATAAATGAGTTTCAAAAACGTTATTTTAAAGTAAAGACGAAACAGTTTGAGATACAATTTTGCAACTGGATAAATAAAACTTCAATTACCTACCACGACAGCCACTCCCTCGTGCACTAGTGATGGTGAGGCATACAAACTGGTCGAATACTTTCCCACATACAAAGTTGGCCTAAGGATGCAGAGTAAGATGTGAAGTTAAAGGCTAAAAAGACCCGAGGAACACAGTCTAAATCTGCAGTATTGTGTTATCTTTATTGTTAAAATATCCATAAGCTATACCTTGCTGCCAGGAAAAGCAAGCAGCTTGTTCTCACACACTGCTAATTACTGAATCAGCTGCAGGGAAGACCTCAAAATCACAGGCGACTGATTATTGAATCGCACATTATTAAGATGAAAAATCGAGAAATTGTGGGCCACTAACCCTTGACCCTGAAACAGTCTGCTGATTTGGTACCGCACTACCAAGTACTCACAGCACAGAGACAAACCATTCAGTCTAACAGATCCACACCATGGTTTTTGCTCCACACATGCCTCTCTTAATTTATTCCCGTCAGCATATCCTTTTATTTATCTGTCCCGGAAATGGCTTATCCAACTTTGTTTAATAGCTATTGAGTAACCAATGCAGACCCCTAACTGTCAAATCATGGAAGTAAAAATGTTGTGCTGGTATTACTCAATGAATTACCTTCTGGAATGTATAGACCACTACTATAACTGACTGCCAAATTTTTCCAAAAGCATTCTGTGATTAGCAATGACTGGTAATAGTGGTTTTCTGGTACTATTTTTTGAGTGAGACAATTAGTCAGGATATCAGGTGAGATTTCTGCTCTTCCATTGGTAACACTACCTGACTTTTAACAAATTCATAAGCACATGAGGTGGTCACCTACCACCTGCCACCTGCCACCTGCCCCCTTGTATTTGTGCTAGTACTTTAAAACAGCATTTCCCCATTGTCTGGAAATTTTTGCTTTTCAAGTACATGAGCCAAATTAACATTTAAAGTAGCTTCAGAAGTGACACTAGCTATTGATCACTTTGGAGACCTGATGATTCTTGACATAAGATTTTATGCTGAATTATGACTTACATCTAGCTTGCTCATACACATGGTTTCTCATTGTGAATGTTGCATTCACTGTTGAATTAGCTAGCATGGGGTTCCCCACGCAGAGTGAATTCTGCTCATCATCCAAACCTACCTTGCAATGTTTGGTTAATTCTGCCAGGTCTCAACAGGTCTCCAGATGCAATGCTTCACAGTTACCTTAGTGAAGGACAAGTTATCTCTCTTTGCCTCACTGGAACCCTGCCCATTCCCAAGCATCTGATCACAAGGCAGTACTGATGCTACGTTTAATACAGGCACACTGTTGCAGCAGGAAGCAGTAAGAAAAAGGTACAAAGGATGGGTAAGAACGGGAAAGAAATGGAGAACATTCATTTAAAGGATTATTTAAGGTTGCACCCCAAGATATTGGTTACCTCTTTCACCACAATTTGTCCCAGATTAATGTTTCTTTTGTTACTATACTGCTCTGCAGCACTTTACGAGTTTAACAAACAGCAATACTGCACTTACATTAGCTTTTGTTTGGTCTCTGCCTCTTTAGGAAGAGGATATTTCCACTTTGTGATCCTGCCCACCTCTCCAGACATAAATGTGAGGTAGCGGAGCGTTTCAATGCCAACATTCGTGTGCATCACTTTCCTCAGTCCTTCCCGCTGCCAGATGTACATTGCCACCACTGGTGATGCATAATTCTGAATCCACAGAATGTCACCAGATTCATTATCTACTGTCACAACCAGCCCATCTCCATTCGACACAAAGTGGAGCATTTCTGCAAGTAGATGGTGAGAAATGATACATTCAAACCATTACACCAAGGCATGTTGGCAAAATGTTCAGCTTCTATTTGTGGCAATATTGGGCACAAATGACACACTCACGAAACAGAATCATGTTTCACCACCCACTTCCAAATTAAAGAATTTCAAGCTTTCCCATGTTGCTTTGTCCCAGTGCCCCTCCCTTCCTACATCAATAAAGATGGACTTCTGATGGCAGCTCACTGAGGAGAAAAGGAGCTTCTAAGGCAGCACAGTGATAGAACTGTCAGTTGCAAATGTGCACAAGGTGCAGCTGCCTCGTGGTTATACTGCCCTAACTCCTCCAACACAAACCACAAAACTGAATCCAATAAATTTAGTAATTTGTGAGTTAACACCAGAAGAAAAGCTATCAAAATAGCTGGTTATTTAAATAATATTAGCCAAAAGGCTCAGCAATGCCCTTTGAGGAAAGAAAGTAATGTTCTTTTAAACTTAAAAGATACACACATTAACAATGTACATGCAAATAATATGCAAAATCAGTTGCTTGAAAAGCTAATTAACTCAGCATGGTCTATATAAAAATAGCAAAGGTGATACATTCAATTGCTCCTGCATTTTTTAATGGATTCTTCCTTATGTTTACCCTCATCTTTGCCAATTTGGCAAGATTTCACCTTGCATTCCAGGGTCTCCTTGCCACTTTTGTCCAGCTTTAGCCTGGTAATCACCACCTTAATGGGGTGAATGCCAATATGAACTGTGGTACCATTGGCTTTTTCCACACTGTACACGCTCAACATATTTTTTTTTTATATTCTTCAACTACTTTACCGATGTGCTGACCATTGTAATGTCCTCTGACAACATGAACTTCTTCATCCTTGTGTATGGGCACTGAGCAAACAGTGTTTTTCTGCCTCAGCTACCCTTGTATATGGTTCCTTTTCCGCATTGCCAAATTATTCAATGCCTTCAAGGCTGGGAATGGGCAATGATTCTGCTCTTGTCAGCCTGGCTCCTGGCCAATGGGCAAACTACTAAAAGTTAACATCAAAAGAAACTAACTTTTCCATACTGGTGAATGATATTTCAATAGTTCTGCTTATCAGTAAAATAATCAATTTAGGTACAACTTGACACAGAACTGACCAAGTGACTAAATTATTAACTATTGCTGCTGGCAGGCAAAGTTTTCAAAATGCACAGTAACTGTCTCTGCAGAAGCAGTAGAACAAGCAACTATTCAACTCAAACCATTCTTACTGTATTCAGTGTCCTCATCGGGTAAGGTGGCAGAGTAATCGAAGTAAGTGGCATTCCATCGCAGCTCCCGATTCTTGGTGTCATACATAGTGATTGTGTACTCTAGAAACAGAAGAGCACAACAACACAAAGGAGCCATTTGAAACCCAGATACCATGGAACAAGTTTAACCAGTTCTTTATAATAGAGACTGGAATTCTATGTTCACCAAGACTACTCTGCATGATGACTGAAACATTGCCATAGATCTACTGACACAGGCTTGAGCAAAGTGGACAGGGGATAGTGCCAGACAAAATGTGCTCAAAGTACCTTCTGTCATGCCGTGGTTCCAATTTCAAAATTCCACTCTTTTTAAGACCGTAAGACATGAGAGCAGGATTAGGTCATTTGGACCATCGAGTCTCTCCACCATTCAATCATGGCCGATGTTTTTCTCAACCCCATTTTCCTACCTACTCCCCATGATCCTTGATCCCCTTACTAATTAACAGATTAACAACACACTATCTGAAGAAATTTCTCCTCATCTCAGTTCTAAAGCATTATCCTTCACTCCGAGGCTGTGCCCTTGAATCCTAGTCTCTCCTACTAATTAGTGGAAACATCTTCTCCATATCCGCTCTATCCAGACCTTTCAGTATTCTGTATTCTTCAATGAGATTTGCGCCCCCCCCCCGCCCCCCGCCCCACCACCACCTAAACTCCATTGAGAACAGACCCCAAGTCTGCAACCGCACCTTGTATGAAAAGCCCTTCATCCCCAGGATTATTCTGTAAACATCCTCTGCACCCCCCCTAATGCCAGCACATCCATCCTTAGATACAGGGCCCAAAACTGCTCAGAATATTCCAAATGGGGTCAGACTAGAGCCTTTTATAACCTCAGCAGTACATTTCTGCTTTTGTAATTTAACCCTCTTGAAATGAATACTAATATTGCATTAGCCTTCCTGACTGCCAATGGAACCTGCAAACTTGACCTTAAGAGATTTCTGAACTAGGAATCAAGTCCTTTTGTGCTTGCCCCTTTTTCCCATATGCCTTAAATGACAGTCATCTTTCCTCATTTATTTCTTTTCCTTCTGACAAGCTCCAACTCCTTAGTGTTGCACATCCCTACCCCAAATCTTAGCTATTGTCCTGTACTACTCCTAAATGGCTAACATTCAGAAGTGAACAGTGACAGAGAGTTTTGATACCTCTTCTAATCCAGGAATAAGATTGTTTAGCACATCATAGCCCTGTCCACCAGTGGATGAGAATCAGATTCTTGACTTGTTTTCTCCTCCAACACCCAGAGATGCTGGAGGATAGTCAGGATGCATCTGCCCTCTACCCTATTCTCAGATCAGCTACATCTAGAATCAACAGGCTTGGCCTGTTTGCGGAGCCTCTGCAGCTGTAGAATCCTGTTGAGCCACTGTGGGGAGCCAGAGTTCATAAAATGAAGCACTGTTAGACCAAAACAAATTAAAACAAGACTCACTTCACCCAAAGAGGATCTTGTGGCACACTGATAGTATCCCCACCTCTGGGCCATAAGGTCCAGGTCAGTGTTTCACCTGCCACAGAGGTTTGACATAACATAAATAAGCAAGTTGAAATAACTACACTGAAGCTACTGCAAAGTGGTGCAGTCCTCATCTGTTGCCGCTCCAACACGCACATTAGGCTTCATAAATGAAGCATCTTTATCAATTTAAAGATTAATATGTTAAATGGATTGACACTATTTCTAAACCCTTAACCATAGTGCACTACTCATATGGTCAATCTCCCCTAAAAAGGGGAGAATGAATTAAAATCAATGAAACTATTTTGGTAGTAACTAGCTACAGGACTGAATATGTGGAAGAAATAAGGAAGCAAAGATATTCCTCATTTTTTCTCTTTCCCTTTCTTCCCTACAAACTTATGTTTGTGTTTTAAAAAATCTCTATCCACCTCTACTGGCATCCCTGCATCCTTTAGTTTACATTATACATTCTAGCTTTAACAAGGAGACACATTTTGCCACTAAAAACATGATCCAAAATGTTCTACCTCAAATTGACACTTAAATCAAAGAGCCACCTGAAAGAGACAGAACTCTTCCTGGATTTGTCCATTCATATCCTTTTTCATATTGGGTGCTCTCCCCCACAATGGCCCCTGCTATGGATGATCTGTGTCACTAGTCCTCAGTGCTATTCATTAGGTTAATCCCAACTGACTAATGTTTCTGTTACTATTGTATGAGAGTTGAAGAAAAGTCACAATACAAAAACAAATATGATAGCTCCCATTTTATAAACATAACTCAACAGGATAGTCCCAAGACAGTGGCCATTATCTCACTAACAATATGCTCCCATAGACCCAAATGGACTAAACGAAAGAGACAAATCTGAATAGCAGACAATCATTTCTGTAACAAAAACGATTGCCTTCGATTGTCCCAACTAGTTGAACAAGGCAGGTGAAATACATCCAAAAATGAAAGTGAATCTAAAGAGATAATAGGAACTGCCAGTGCTGGAGAATCCGAGATAACAAGGTGTAGAGCTGGATGAACACAGCAGGCCAAGCAGCATCAGAGGAGCAGTAAAGCTTAGGTGAATCTAAAGAACCTGGTTGGTCAAAGTGATCAGGATGTGCTAGATTTTATAAAAAAGAACTTGCTTTTGGAGCTTCACATACATGTAAATTCGGCTCTGCAATCCACATTTTATCTTTCAATACATGTTAAGCCAAAGAGTAATACAAATTTATTCACAGACACAGTAAAGTTATTCTAACAGCTTTTTATTATGCCCGGATTCTTAAGCGTGGGGCATACACACTATACCTGTACGTCCAAGGTATAGGAGGGGTGTTGATGGACACATGCTTTCTGCGAAAGAAGCTGTTAACGTCTGCTGCTTTACACCTGTCATTGGGTCCACAACATACCAGATATCCTGTTTCTTTCCTAAGGAAACACAAAATAAAACAATCTTCCAATAAACTATTATCATGTCACTTAGAAGCTACCAATCCACTCAATAAGTCACACCAGGGGATTTCAGATACATCACAGCTTGATTCACCCTTCCTTTCTTGTACTTCTGAGTATAAAGTGGAAGTTTATAAACCAGTCAGCTGAAATAAAATGTTTCTATAAATAATAACCCTCTAAGGAGCACCTACAAAATAGTTACTTCTTATCAATTTCAATTCAAATTACAAATTAAAGCTACCTGTGACCCCCTATCTGCAAGAACTAATTTAAGTTGCTGATGGCAACCATTATAATTCTATACAGAATGTGATCTTGAACTTGAACTCAAGATCTGCAATCCACTGTAGTAAGTCCAAAAAGAATGAATTGTACCCTTATTAATCAGATATTCAACTATTTAAAGATCAGTAATATCTGAACATTTGCCAAGCCAAGGACTTTCTATAAACACAGTCTTGTTAAGAGTTGAAAAGATGGATCTCTGATTAACCTTGTAACGACTGACTGGCAGTGACCATTCAAATTGAATTCAAGTTAGGAGCTGGGCAGATTGCTTGAAAAGCATGTGATTTAGCAACCAGACTATTCACAAAACAAGCAGTTCACTCCTCCCCACCCCTAATCCCATCAGGGCAGGTAGACAGAGGTGCTGCATATTTAATTGCAAAATCTCACAGCCTAACACTTCATTTAAACCTTACATTTTAATCATCAGATTGGAGATTACTGAATCATATGGTACAAAAGAGGCCTTTTGGCCCATAGTCAGTTTCACCAAAACTATGCTAAATATAAAATAGTCCCACATTCCCACACTAGGCCCATAGCTCCGAATGTTATGATATTTCAAGTGCTCATCCACATACTTTTTAAAAGGTTGAGAGGGTTCCTGTCTCAATGACCCTCTCCCACACTGCATGCCAAATCCTCATCATCAAATTGTCTCCAAACTTCCTGCCTTCCACCTTAAAAGTCTGACTGATCCTTCAACTAAGGGGAACGGCTACCTCCTACCCATTGGAATTTCACTCATCTGCAAACATTAACCAACATTTTGCAAACTTGTCTATTTCCAGCAATCGTTTTCTCCTTCTAGCATTAAAAAAAAGTGACTGATCATTACACATTGAAATCTTTCCTTTCCTGTGCAATATAGGAATACAGTTTAAAAGACAACTATCTTAGGTCAGAATAACTGTGGAATTCTGAAAACAATAGTGAGCAATGTATTGTGAAACAGAGTTCACTCACCCATGTACAGTATACCATCAGAACTTCGACAAGGGGATGCTTGCACCAATTCAGGAATTGTGAAAGGAAGTTTCTGTAAAAAAGAACTAATGTTTTTAGTTTCATGCCAAAACCAAGTTTTATATCAGGCAACAAAAGCAGATATACCAGATATTAAAAACTATGTACTAAACCCTAGCAGCAGAGCCTATTCATTCTGAAATCAGGTCTGCAGAAAATCTCCAGTTCAAAACAAAGTGGAATTAATAAAATTGATTTAAAAATATAAAACCCACAGCTACCACCACTATATTTTGCAAAGTTGTGGCTACAGTTTCAGGAAGGCCGAAGGATAGCTGATTTTGGTAAGTTAAACCTCCACATGAAAGCAGCACTGTTCTTCTATTACAGGTGAAAGGAACATGGTCGGGGGGTAGATGAGAGAATTACAGAGTTTACAGCATGAAAAGAGCCCATTCAGCCCAATCAGACCACCACACATGGCCTGCCCAAAAAGTGCTTGATACTGATACTGTATGCTTGAAATAAAAAGAATAACCATTTGCCACTGCCAACACCACTTATTTTGTTTATGTACAATTCAATCTAAAACATGAATTAGTAGATAGCTTATTGAATAGCTTTTTCGGTCGAAGTTAAGAAAAATAGGCCTTTGAACAGACACAAGCAAACAGGTGGGACTACAAGGGTATTAGCTTACAGTAAGGCCTTCATTGTTTTTGCCTCCCAGCGTATATAGACTGCCATCATTAGGATCAGGAAGAAATGCTGGTCTGCAAAGAAGAAATAAACAACAAATTAGTAACAGCATTTCTAATTATAGATGGTGATGAACTACCAGCTGGGCCATTTACTTGCACAGCACAGAGAGTGACAGGTAGCAAAATCCAGGTGCTGTGAACCCTAAACCAATTGGATCATACATAGCTGAAGGTGCCCTTCTGAAAGGAGGGTCTCGCTGCAGTTAAAAGCTGCTATTCCTTGCTCAAATTTAGAATTTAGAGCTACCACACATAAATAATGCTATGATGGAGCAACCATACACACTACAATTATGCACAATACTGCACACTTCATTCTATAAACTGAAGCTTGGAATTAAGTTAAAAATCATGTGGCAGATGCTTGTACAGACATCAAGACTGAAAGTGTTTTTTTAAAAAAAGATTTTTGCACAAGTTCTCCGGCTTTGACTAAGTGAGGTGCCTTATGGAGTAAAAAGAAATGCACACTACTGTGAAAACAGAAACTCTACAAACAGATTTCTTAGTAGGCTGGTTCTGAATCTCAAACATGTTGTAAAGTTCCCAAGTGCACATGGCTGGGCTGACTTAAAAAAAAATTCATGATATATGTAAATTCAGCATTATTTGTAAAAGGATGAAGCTCGACAACAATCCAACAGCAGTGACACTGGGATGTACTGCATAGTTACAAATAAATACATTGGCTAGCAAACACTGCATGAAATGGAGAATATAGCTCAAGTATTCATACAACAGAGAACACAAAACTCATGAAAGACTAAAACAGAGTCAAAAGACGTGAAAGAGGCCAGCTTTTCGGAGGCTTTTGTAAAATGGAAGTCAATAAGAGGATCGTATAATATGAAGCAAAGCAGGCAGGATTATAAATTGAGTTTTTAAAAGCTGGAAATGTAAAAAGCTGGTTTTGAGCAAAAGTGACCAAAATGTTACTGAACTGTTGCCAGAAGCCAACTATTTCACTAATGTTGGTAAGTGGGGAAAACCTGACAGCCTATACTTAGTTCCATCAATATGACTGGCTCTGAACCGCCCTCTGAAGTATTCCAGGCACATATACACTGACGATGAATAAATAATTTTGCACATATTCGGAAATGAGAAATAGTCTCAAAAACGATAAAGCAACGATAGATCCTTAACACATATGCTATCTATTTTCATTAGATATAAACAGATGTATAGCCATATTAGGAACTTACTCCGTCAGATGCATGGGCACTTGAAGCACAGGATCTGTAAAAGACAAAGATTTAAAATTGTAAAATTACACAAATAAAATGAGACAATGCAAATCCTGAGTCTGAGTCTGAGTCTGAGTCTGAGTCTATCTAGAAACCCTAACCCATCATTCTGATTCTGATTTTTAAAATATGTAATGAGTTATGAAGCCACTGATTAATTACCCAAATCCAAAGTTGCAGAGTATACAAATCTATGCTAATAAACAGGTAGCCATTTTACACATGATAGAAGAAAATGTGTGATAAAATGTACTAATGGAAAAACATGATTATCTAATACTGTACAGACAAAACAGCAGCTGAAATACCTGAAGGAAGAGATGGTAACTTCCAATGGATTCAGATAGTAGCATCCTCAACTTTAGGGCAGAAATTGTCTCCTAGCCATGCAATATAGAAGATTCATAGCCTTCTCAAGCAAGATACAAGACACAGGCTAGGTTTACAGTTTCTGTAATTAAGCTAGATCTTAATCATCTGTTTCCACTATTCTCCTGGAACCCATTTATTACTTAACCGAAGACAAACTAAATCATGATCCATTCTTAATACGATCTAGTAATGTCCTCATATCCAACATCCGGATTATTTGGTAGGAGACAACTGGAGCAGAGGTGGTCACCACAGCTGCCCACATAACAGACATATTGACTTGGCAGGTACAATGTAAGCACCAGTAGGAACGTTTAGTAGAATTGATACCCACTGGAGGCAGTGTAAAGTCAAGAAATTTGGAGACAGTAGAAAAAGGCAGACTGGAAAGACTGCTTTTCTTAAAGTGGAATTGCAGTGTAGCTTAAAATGGCAAAAAACAATTATTATGCTTTAATAACTGATCCATTTCAGTTATTCAGAGATAATCAAAGCAGTTTGCACAGTTATCCAGTTGTTTGGGTGGGTGTGGGTGCGAGTGTGTGCAAGTGCGAGAGAGAGAGCGTAGATACAGAAAGGTAGGAGGGAGTGGGCAGAGCGAGACAAGGGACAAAATCAAGGACAGATTTCAAACAGTTGTTGGTTGTGGTCAGTGGTTCTGTGACGGGTTGATCTCTGTTCACTTTGTGTAGACATGGTTAGTCCAAAGTCATCCAAAATGGAATATTTATAAGATGGCACAGAGGGCTAAGAAGTAGATCTAATTCAAAAGGACAGCAAGTGTGGCATTTTGATGAACAGAAAATAACTATAATCATACTATGAATTGAAGTAGGTGCAGTGCTGTGGGAAAGTAGAAGGATTTGGATTGAAGGCTCTGAGGGTATTAAAGGCATCACCTCAGGTTGATAACAATAGTAAAAGATAAGGAATTGTAGGTTTTAATCACAAAAGGTGTAAAATATAAAAGCCAAGAGGTAGGCATATGTTTACATAAAAGGTTGCATGTACAGTAGTAGTGATTATAACATTGGGCAAATAATTCAGTAGTCTGGAGCAATGATGCAGAGACAAGTTCAAACCCAATGGTAGTTGGGGAATTTACATTTAGTTGATTAAACATATAAGGAGAAAAAGCTAGCATTAGCAACGATGACCATGAAACTACAGTTGTAAAAACTCAACCAGGTCACTACTGTCTTAATGAGAAGCCAATGCCATGATTTTATTCTGGTCTGGTCTACAAGGAATTCCAAACCCAGGGCAGTATTCTAGATTGGGTCAGAAAGCCACGAGGTGATAATAAAAAGTGCTACAGGGAACTAACATCAGCAAAGACTACAGCAAGCAGGCAATTCACCACCGTTCCTCAAGGCAAAGAGAGATGGACAATTAATTTGCCAGCAAGCGTGCACATGAACACATGCAGTGTTTTTTATTGGGTTCAAAGTGCCAGTTGCCTACATTAAGTTGGCTTGACATAGATTAACGATAAGTCGACATTACCCACGTTTCAGTCTGTGCTGTCCTTAATCAATTGCAAATTCCCATTTCTCATTTATCTTTCATTTATCAACTAATCCTTACGTAAAACATGCTTCTGATGATGCAGCCATCATATAACTCAGGCATGAAGATATGCAATGAGAAATAAGATTCTTCCCCAACTTCCAATCTCAAGATTTGCCTATGGTATTTCATTTAAGGGCACAAAATAAATAAAAAGTATTTTGAACAAAACATTGGAAGAAAAATAAACACTATCTAAGGCAAGACACAAAACAACAACAATGCCAAGATTAAGATCCCCATTATCTGCTAACTGAATTAGGCAGGCTGTTTAGGAATAGCCAGCAGAAAGCCCTTCCAACTTCTTCATTAGCTTTTCAATAAATAACAAATAATTAATAAACAAACAAATAAATTCACTGTGATATTAATAGTATGGAGTATAGTATGCTGAGACCACTTACAAATTGCAAAACCAAAGCTATAAAGCCTATTGTGTATTACCATTATAACTCAAGCCAGCTTCCTAAAGAAGTGAGGCACAGTTCCGCATCTGTACATTTTGATGGATAAGGATGCAAGTGCATAACTGTCCTTGATGCCTTTCCAGTCAGCAGAAAGACCTAGTGTTTTCAAGTTGGTGTGGGAAATGGATGTAGTTTAAATAATTGTGAAAGTTTCCAAAGCATTCTTAATTTGGAATTTACAGCACTAATATGCCCCATGTGCTGTTTTTACAATTTAATTTGCATTATCAGAAATAATCCACAACTCACTTACCCTCCATGCAAATGTAATTCTATTACAAACACACATTTCTAACAAACGAACTCCACACGTTCAGAAATCAGGCTGGGTCATTTTTTTTTTCTTTATTCATTCATGGGATGAGGGCATCGCTAGCTTGGCTGCATTCATTGCCCATCCCTAATTGCCCAGAGGGCAGTTAAGAGCAACCACATTGCTGTGGGTCTGGAGTCACATGTAGGCCAGACCAGGTAAGGATGGCAGTTTCTTTCCCTAAACGGCATTAGTGAACCAGATGGGTTTTTCCCGACAATCGACAATGAGTTCATGGTCATCATTAGATTCTTAATTCCAGATATTTATTGAATTCAAATTCCACCATCTGCCATGGCAGGATTCGAACCCAGGTCCCCAGACATTATCTGGGTCTCTACATTAACAGTCCAGCGATAATACCACTAGGCCATCGCCTCCCCTGTATATTCAAGGTTGGGATAGACTTTTAAGCAGTAAGGGAAAAAGGTTTATGAGGAAAAAGCAGGAAAGTGGAGCTAAGGTTTATCTGATCAGCCATGATCTCACTGAATGATGGAGCAGACTCAATGGGCTGAATGGCCTATTTCAGTTCCTCCGTCTATTGGTCTACCTGGCAGGAAATAGTTTTTTCCAATTCACCAAAACGTTCCATTAATTTTACTCTCTTTATTAAATCTCCGCATAACCCTCTCTGTTTAAGAACAATTTCTGCTTCTGGATTCTGCATAACCAAGGTCTCTCATCCATAGTCAAGAAACCTTCCTCCACACACTCAAAGATCTTACATCCATATCGATGTACATAATACTCCACATGAAGAGAGGCTCAAACTAACTTAAGATTTTTGCTATATGCCACGATTTCGAAGCCATAGATGTCTTTTTTAAACACAGATATCCCACCAGCACACTTCTCTCTGGGCCTGCAGCTGCTTTAACTCTCATGAAATGTTCCTTTTGCTATCGGTTCAAGCAATTCAAAGCAGGCGCCACCCTCAAGAGAAGCTCAAAGACTTTCTTTTTAAAAAGCAGCACATTGAGATTGGGTCTTCATGTGTAACTTTCTGCAAAATGTGGCAAGAAAATAATACACTGGAAACACTGGTTGGTGCACAGTTCCTGAAATGGAGGTTCACATACTTTATAAATCTCAGATTGAAATAGTAAGACAACACACAGTAACTAGTGACACTTTTTCTTTCATTACACCAATTGGTGGATTAGTTTAATTTAAAAAGTTCAATTTGATCAAAATTACTGAAACCGATTAGGAGACCCCAAAATCAACCACTCTCCTTAAACATTTCTTAATCTTAGTTCGTGGTTTATATACTAACAGATCTTTAATAACAAAGGGTGTCAATTCAGAATATCCAGTTCCACGAAGAGCACACTTTCTGCCTAATAAAAAAAAACTTGCTCAACAAACACAAATTGTACACTGGCAGAACTCCAATATTTGAGACTAATTAGTGAAGAAGTATTATTATTATTGACAAGTCTCTTGGTTACAGGGTTAGATTAAACTGGATTCCACCAAAGCCTCACTTCACGTTAGGTATTCGTTCAGTAATTCCAGTTAAACTCAAGCATGGTGAAATCTCCAATCGTATGTGTTGTTTCTAAGCAGTTCTATGTAAAAGTAGACAGAAAATGCACAATTTTATTCAAAGCAGAGAACACTTCCTCTATCCTTTGCAAGAGTACAAAAATGACAACACAACAACATGCCCAAAAATGTGATCAACAAAAACAGAATGACAGCGGCTGATTCAGATTGTGAATTGCTAAATGTTATAGGCTATGCATAACCAAATTCAGTCTCCTGCTTCCCTCTTCTGAGTTCACTTACCAAGCACAGACTTCCAGAACCAACCACAGCACTGATTACTTGAAAGATCCTTGCTGACCACCCATCCATACAAACTTACATTTACCAGTTTGCAACTGCAGTTAACCACACACTTTTTGAAATGCACAAGTACATGACACAGTTTTAAACATGGTCATTTTCCATACACGTTTTCACTGGTTTAACTTTTATGTCATGGGATAGATTCACAAATACATGCAAACATCAAATCACTAGTAAAATGAGGCAACTTTTGTGTGCAAGAACAATAGTTCTCAGGATACAGAATAAGGCTACATTTACTGCCTGCCCCTAGCTGCCCTAATTAGCTTTGTTGTAAAGAACATGCAAGCCAGTGGGACCTGGGAATGCAGGGGGAGATTTTAAAGACTTATGAGAATGATTAGCAAAGTGCATATGAAATTTTGTTTTTCATACACAGAGGTGTCGAGCACATACCAAAGTACGTTATGCTAAATCTTTCTAAAGTTCCGGTTAGGCTGCAACTAAAGGGTTACATCCAGTACAAGTTGCATTTTAGAAAGCACGTGATGCTTCTTGAGAATGTGCAGATGAGATTCAATAACAGCATGATTCTAAGAATGGGGAGTTATAAATAAATGCTTAGTTGTACAGAGCTTAAACATTGCTAAAAGGTGACTAGAAGTTGCTTTTTGTCTTGCACTAGAATGCAAGAAACAGACTTCAAAAAAGATCATTTTATATAGAATCGGGTGATGACTGGTCAGGCCATCATTGGTTACCTATCCATCATAATTCTCAGTCCAGGTAGGTAGATTCTGATTCTCACCCATCACCTTCTTTTCATTCTATACAAAATGGCGACTTTTTTGCTCAAGTTCAGTCCTTTTAGAATGGATTGGGAATTTCAGCTACAAAGTTCAGTTGGAGAAGTTAGAGTTCTTTTCCCCAAGATACAAAAAAATGTGTTCCAATTAACAAGCACCAGCAGACAGGTTTAATGTTTTACATGGCAAGTGATATTAACCTGGACACACTGTCCACAAGGGATATTGAAGTAGAGATGATAGATGACTTCAAACAGATGGGCATTTGCAGGAACAGAGTGGAGATGCAGGGAAATAGGGCAGACTGAAATGCTCAATAGAGAACTGGCATAGACTCACTGGACTAAACAATTTTTTTAGTCATCGCCAGCTAGGCTATCATTTATTATCCATGCCTAACTGCTCTTGAAAAGGTAATGGTGAACTTTCTTCTTGAACTGCTGCAGTCCATTTGATGCAGCTATGCCCACAGTGCTGTGAGGGAGGGAGTTCTAACATTTTGACACGGATACAGTGAAAGATGATTACTTCTAAACCACGGTGGTGAGTGCCATAGCAAGGAACTTGCTGGTGCTAGTTTCCCATGTATCTGGTGCTCTTGTCTTTCTAGATGGTGATCATGGGTTTCGAAGAACCTTGGTGAATTTCTGCAATGCATCTCTAGATGGTACACAATATTGTAACTGTGCATCAGTGATAAAAGGAGTGAATGTTTACGGATGTGGTGCCAAGCAACCAAACTGTTTTTCCCCTGGATGGTATCAAATTTCTCAAGTGTTGTTGGAGCTGTAGGGATTCTAATGAATTCAAGGAGTGATGTTTAAATTCTCTCTTGTTGGAGATGGTCAGTTACTGACAGTTGCTTGGCCAAATATCACTTGTCACATCAGCCAAGCCTGGACATAGCCTAGGTCACCCTGCATTTCGGCACTGACTGCTTCAGTAACTGATGAGTCACAGGTGGTGCTGAACATTGCACAGTCAGCAAATATTCCCATTCTAACCTTATGGAAGGAAGGCTATTGATGAAACAGCTGAAGATGGGAGTCTCAACCCTGAGGATCTCCTGCAGAAACATCCTAGTGCTGTGACAACTAACTTAACAGAACCATGACAATGGCATGAATCATGAAGACAAAAGATCAACGATCCTCCCCTAATAGGAGAGCTAACTATATTTAACCATTACTTAGTAGCTGGCACATTTAATGTGTTTCGAGGATGAATTGAAGGCTTATCTTAAAAAATAAGAGACCAAGCTTATTCCAGTAACCATTATACTGCCATATGGAAAGTTGAACGTGCAGAGATGTGAGATTAAGTTGCTCTTTGCCCGGTATTCCAACCAGAAAGTGGTGTGATTGTGGCAGGGAGAGAGTGTGATTAAAAATCTAAATTGTGCCATCAATATAGAAGTGTAATATCTGAAGTGTAGAATATAAAATTCAAAAGCCCCGAATACTAGTTTAAAACTGGGAGCACTCTGTGTTTATTGCTTAAGAATTTACTCTTAAACCTACACAATGAATGAGGCCACAAGTCAAAAAGTGGATTATTGCTGGGATTTGAAATTGCCTTTTTATCAGAAACATTCTTTCTAATCAAACGTGCAAAATTAAAATCAAACCATAACCAGAGGTCAAGTTACATTTTCTCCCACTTCCAAGACATGAGATGCTACCTACCTTCTTTCAAGGTCCATTTAATGGAGCCTGTCTGTTTGCTGACAGCATGCAAGTTTCCATCCAATGTTGATATAAAAAGCAGTGTCTCAGGCAGGACTGTGCTTGAACCTCCACAGCACTATAAAACAAAATATATAAATGCACCCAAAAATACAGTACAATCCAGTCAACATCATTACTGCCAATCCACTCTTTGGAAGAGAGTTCAGGAGCAATGTCCCAAAAGATCATTCCCTCAAAGTAAGGTTTCACTAATTTGTGACAAAGACAAGGAGGATCTTCTTTCTCAGAGGGTAATGAATCCGTGGAATTCTTTACCACAAAGTATGGTTAAGGTTGATCTTTAAGTGTAATCAAGGCTAAGATAAACAATATCTAATCAATAAAGGAACCAAGGGTTATGCGGTAAAAGCTAGGAAAGGGGAGTTGAGGGTTATCAGAACATCAATGGTCTCGCTGAATGACAGAGAAACTCAAAAAGGCCAAATGGTTTACTTATGCTCATATGTTATGGGCTTATCAACACAATTTTGAGACATTAGATGTGATATGGGAGGGGAGGAATCATGAATCTAAGCCAGTCACATACTGTTAAGACTGTTTATGCTTAGTTTAATTTCCATTCATATACTGGATTTCCCAAATACAGAGGCCATGATCACTTAATACTGTAATGTAGCTCAACAGACTTTCCCTTGGCAGTAACCGCTATAATAAAGAAATTAAATACAGAACCGTGATTCTCTGAAATCAATGCAAGAATTTGTTCAATGAAAACCAGTCTTAGATACACACCCACTTCATAGAGAATTACATCTCATGTATAAGCTGCTTCCTTGCTCTCAGTTCACCCAATAGAGTCAAGGTAACAGAATTTCAATCCAAGCAAACAACCTTGCAATGTTCTTTATGGTCTATTGCACTGCAAGATAAACCCAAAAGGTTCCAGAAGGCACTGTTCTACTATTGCTGTTCTGCTCCTACATCAGTATCAGATCATCAACAGCAGACGCCTGTCCCTTGGTACCGAATGCATTTTCCCCAGTCAGTATTCACACCCTCTGCAGTTCTAAATGCAGATACCAACAGCTTCTGCCAAGATTTGTTACTAAATGATAAAGGACCCATGCCAGAAACTCTCTCAGTTCAATTAATTTGTCTTGCACAAAGGTGCTACATTTAAGGAAGCTGCTTCAACACCACATCTGGTTTTACCACCACCTTCCCGCCCACCATCTCCTCAACAACCTAAATCCCACTGATACTACAAAGATTTCTTCATTTGAAACAGTCATTACCAAACATATCTACAGTTTTGCTCCACAGCTCGTTATGCAGCAAGATTTTGTACAAGTAAACAAAAGATTATCCCACCTACTTGTTATTGCCCTTCTTTCAGAGCCATTTATGACACATCTTGAAAATTTAAGAATTGCAAATACAACAGCAAAAAGAAAATAAAAACCGAAAGAACTGCGGATGCTGTAAATCAGGAGCGAAAACAAAGTTGCTGGAAAAGCTCAGCAGGTCTAGCAGCATCTGTGAAAGGAAAAAACAGTTAACGTTTTAGGTCCGGTGACCCTTCCTCAGAACCCTACTGAGGAAGGGTCACCGGACCTGAA